GGCCAATGGAGGGCTGTAAGCTGTTCAAAGGCCTCCGTTCGCTAAACCGCTGTAATGAGGAGGCTCTCCGTCTCCTAACGTCTCTCTCACGGCTCGACAATCCCTTCGATGGCAGCCGGAAGCAGTCTTAGCTCAAGAAGGAAGTTGGCCGATCACGGACTCCCAAAATGGTGGCCCGAAGGTCCGTCAAAATGGCGGCGCCCTTGGCGCGAGTCTGCTGATGGCGGGCACAAAGCTGCGGATTCATAATGGCGGCCCGAAGGTCCGACCAGATGCTGCGCTGCCCAAGTGGTAGGTTCGTATCGCTTCTCCCTCGTAGGCCGATAGCCCGCTCTCTCCACGCCCGCTAGCTTCAGGGAAGAGCTGGCGCCCCAATTACTCACGCCCCATGTGCGCTCACAATGGCGGTCCGAAACTTCAAAGCCGCCCGAGCCTAGGATGAAACAGCGCGATGGCGGGGTGGTCGCTGGGCTCCGCTCGTCCTCTGACGTCTAGTTAGAGCAACCGGACCCGCCCCAAAGGGAACGGAGACGAGCTGCTGTTGAAGCTTTCGCGTACGAAGGCGTGGGCGGCCCGGAGCCCCAGGCGCGCCTCACAGCTGATAGAGAGAAAAAAAAAAACTTTGCTTCTCGTAGCCGCAAGTAAAGAAATAATCAAAACTAACAAAAAAACCTATTCGGATCCCAAGGAAAGGGAAAAGGGGAAAAAAATTGAAAAAAATCCCACTAGCTCAAATAGTCACTTCAGTGTTTGTCAGCAACTGAGTGAAGACTGGGGAATCATGGGATGTGGGTGTGGCTAGCTACAGGAAAGGGAAATTAGCTCTCACTCTGTTGTTGTCAAAGCTGAAGGAACTAACCCAGCCAGCCATGGATAGTGGGAGCAGCGCTCAGGAAAATAGCAATATGCATCCCTTAAATCAGTGGTGGAATTCAAATTTTTTTTACTACCGGTTCTGTGGGCGTGGCTTGGTGGGCGTGGTGTGCATGGCAAGGGAAGGATACTGCAAAATCCCCATTCCCACCCCACTCTGGGGCCAGCCAGAGGTGGTATTTGCCAGTTCTCCAAACTACTCAAAATTTCCGCTGGATATAGACAGATCTCTTAGATCTGATATTGCCTGATATTTGCAGCTGGAATAAGACAAAATTGCAACATTGATATTTTGGACCAGCTCAGGTTTTCAATCAGTTTGTTGTACTGCAGCAAACTGATGTAAGAGAATGATTAGAAGCAGAGGCCCCTAAAACTAATAATCTCAGTTATCAAGGAAAAAGAGCTGTGCCAGAGCTGCTATTTGGGAATACAGGAGAGATTCTTGGATCTGAATCTGCTAGCTGAATCTGCTGAATCAAGGAAGATCCTGGCCTCTGTGTCTCATTAATGAGCTTACTCACTAATTAGAAACCTCGCCTTCTACATACCACTTCTGGTTGGCCCCAGAGTGGGGTGGGAATGGAGATTTTGCAATATCCTTCTCCCAGGAGTGGAGTGGGAATGGGGATTTTGCAGTATCCTTCCCCTGCCATGCCCACCAAGCCACACCCAAGCCACGCCCACAGAACCGGTAGTAAAACAATTTGAATTCCACCATTGATGTAAGGGATGCATATTGCTATTCTGTAGTCTAAACAAGAAGCTTTTTCTATTCCAAAGGATTTGTTGGTAAAAGCTGGTAAAAGCAGGCTGAAGTAATAAGGACAAAAGACACCGATTCTCCAAAAGGACTATGATGGCAGGCAGGCTGTGACCAAAATGAAATGGCATTACATGGTTTATTGAACCAGGACAGCAACCTGATCAGCAATTAACTGGCCATTAACTAACCCTTTGATTACTACTGAGAGACTATCAACAACAATACCGCTTCATAGTGCTTTACATCCCTCTCTAAGCGGTTTACAGAGTCAGCAACTTGCCCCCAATAATCTGGGTCCTCATTTTATCGACCTCGGAAGGATGGAAGGCTGAGTCATCAAGCTAGCAGAACGGTTTTCTTCATTGTATACGGCAATATTTTTGCCAAGAAGTAACATCCTTGTTGAACAAAACTGCCTTGCTAAATCCAGAACTTGTTTGAAAGCTCCTCCTCCCTCCCTCCCTCCCCCCCCCTCTCTCTCTCACACACACACACACCCCTACTGCATATGACATCTTGGAACAAGCAAATAAACTCTGCATAACTCCTGATTTCATGTTGAATCTAAAATGGTAATAAGAGTCTATTCAACTTTAAACAGCCTAGGATCCAAGGTCTTCAAAGATAACATTCCCAAACACCCTCCATTAAGATTAGCTGAAAATGCTGTGCCTCTGAAACTACCAGTGAATTCGGTCTATAAGAGTCAGACGTTCTATAGGCAGCCTGCCAATTATGGAAGTCAATGGAATGTCACCTGAGCATGTGCTGCCATATTTAATTAGCTGGAAGACTGTCAGATGCCTTCTCAAGTAGTATTGTCCCAGTTTACAAAATCTTGCCACTAAATCATTCAACCTGGCACGTCCTTTGTGATTCTCTTGGTAGCAGACCAAGAAAGTTTCTCCTTTTTTAAAGCCACTTCAGGTATAGAATTATGTGACAGTGTAAAGAGCATGTAACACCATGTTTAGTTATAATCCTTGTAAGGTATGTAAGGTGGTAAACCACCTCCTGATGTGTTGGCTAAGGGTCAAGATGACTAGGCATTGTAAGAGTTGTAGTCCTATATATCTGGACTAAATTAGATAGGAGAAGCCAACACATAGCTACAGGTAGTCCTCGGCTTACAACAGTTCATTTAATGACCATTCAAAGTTACAACATCACTGAAAAAAGTGACCTATGAATGTTTTTTACACTTATAACCATTGTAGCATCCCCATGGTTATGTGATTTACATTTGGATCCTTGACAACTGATTCACATTTATGACGGTTGCAATGTCACAGAGCCAGATTCACTTAACAACCGTAATTTAACAAGTGCAATGATTTGCTTAACAAATGTGGCAAGAAATGTCGTAAAACAGGGCAAAACTCACAAATTTCTCACTTAACAATGTGAATTTTGGACTCAATTATGGTCGTAAGTTGAGGACCTGTACTATGTTAAATAGAGCTATCCATTCTCAAACACTGTCATGCTAAAAATACTTTTAGAAATTTTGTGAGCTATTCATAAAAAAGATGATTAAGATAAGGTTGGTGTAATGTGATGAATTAACTGTGACATTGAAATGCCACTGAGGTAGCACTGCAATACTATGCAATAGTCAGCATCACTTCTTGGAGCCTTCCCCAGCCATTCATCATGCTGGCAGAGGCAGCTTGGTGGTGAAAGCCCAACGCACCCTGAAGACATAAAATAGGGGAAGGCTGAGTTTCTGATCTGTTCCCATGACATGATCAACCTCATCCATGTGCAAAGTTAATGTGAAGTGGATGAGGAAAAGAAAAAGGATCCTGGATAAATTCATGCTACATTGTTTTAGACTAATGTTCCTGAAGTACAGAAGTGCTGTAGCCACAATGTTCTCCATTCTTTATTTTAAAAAAACAGGCACTCCATCTTTCTAGCTACAATCAAGGTCAATCAAGATGGCTTGCAATAAAAGAATCAAAAGTCTGCAAGTGAACACAGCACTGACAAATATTAACACAGCAGTAGGCATACGACACCATTCAGAATAGGAGTTGAGCAAAGTGAAAGACTGCATTACTACAACGCCCACATACTTGGGAACGCTGCAGAAGCAAATTCTGTAGTATTATTTCTAGCATAGAAGATGCCTCACTCAGTCAACATTATTTTCTTCTGTCAATAGTTGATGGAAGACTCATCTTACTTTAATGAGCAGATAGTCTTGCATGGAACTTACCAATACATTCAACAAGACTGCGTGGAGGGATTGTTCTGCATTGTTGTTCAATCACGGCACCGAACAGAATGGTGTGTTCCCTCTGGATCCATAACTAAAGCTATGAGTCAGCCATAGCCACCTGAAGGCTCAGACAGCTGCTTCATCATAAACCCAGAGACCTTGGGAGGACCTCAAGCAGCTACTTCAAAAGCCACTTCCAGAGGAACACTTACTCGGTTACAAAATGAACTTATTTTTAAGGCACAGTAAAACATACACAATGAAATCACAGCCTTGGGGAGGTTAATAAATCAATTAAATGAACATGCTGTAATAGAAGCTATTCTCAAAATATATGAAATCATCTTGATCTTTTACTACAACCTTAGATAGATACAGTAAATATGCTGCGTTTCTTCCATTAATTTTGATGAAGAAGGAAGCCAGTCCTTATACCTTTTCTCCAAATGTTTATGTCTTCAAGTGATTCCTTTATTTTGCTCACGTTTTGCACCATTCCTTTTCTGGAATTGAAGTATATTATACTAACTCGGTTTAATTCTAGGTGAACCTGTTCTGTATCCAGCCAACTATGTTTAATAAACCATGGTTAAAAAAAGAGCTAACAATGAATGTGTGCGAACAAGGATATGCCCATAACTGGGCATCGTAGCAAATTAAAACTCCTTTCAGTAATTTGCCAAATGTGTGATTATCTCACATTTATTATGAATAACCCCAGCATATCTTAATATGGTTCAAATTTCCTCAAGCTTTTGGATGGAAGCATAAGGCAGCTTGACATCCTCCAACTTTATGAGCATGAATTCCTAGAATTCTTGAGATATAATAAATACGATCTTTATTAAGAATTCGGGAAGCTGTTTACACATTTAGAGTGAGTCCAGGTTTGGGAAGATTGCTTTAAAATGTGCTGCTCCCCCTCACTTGCCATCCTACGTCTAGTCACTTCCCCATATGAAACCAGATATTAGAATTTAGAAGCAGTCTGATGTGCTTTGTTCCTTACGAATTGTCACCATTGTCACTTTTCTTTATTGTCAAATTGTTGCTTTGTGTTTAGCAGTAGGTGTTAATTCAACAAGATAAAACTTGACCTAAAGTCAACGTTAAAATTTGATACTCTCAAGTACTCACAGCTCATCTCGTTGCCTCTGTGACAGCACCATTGTGGCTGTGATGTCTGGTTAACGTGATCCAGCTGTCTCCTCTGCGTCAAGCTCCTTTGAAATTTTGTGATACACAATTCAGTCTGCCACAAAGTGGCTTCAACCCAAAAGACAAGGCGTTGCCACAGGTAAACACTAGCAAATAGGCAGGATGCATTCAACAATGAAGAGTCATTCCATCTAGAAAACGAAAAGAAAAACAATAGTATTTTGTAGAATGTGTCAGTTATATATAGCTTTTTCAATTTGAGCATAAAATATGCAGACATTTTAAGTGCTACATATAATTTTAGCTTAAAGAGTACCAAAAAAGCTTCCCCTACATTTCCACTAGCAGGTAATTTTTAATTTGTCAGAAGAAAAAAAATGTATACAAAAGAATAATTGCGTAATTACTTTCTTGTATTCTTAATTTAATTTATTTAATTTAATTCTTAATTTAAATATAGATTAAACCAAACTTGGTTTGTTCTGCTTCCCCCGTATTTTACCAGCAGCCCCAACACCTTAAAAATTCAGCTACACAAATTAGAAAACATCCATGTTTGTCATTTGTTAGATCAGTTGTTTGTCCTAAGATAAAATGCCCATTAAAATCATATTATGCAGAATAGAACTAGCATTCCCCTTTAAACATCTCAAATTATTTAAATAAAATTTAGAAAGCAATGGTATCACTGACACTACAGTATATAAAATCATAGGCTACAATTAGCCAATCAAAGATTACTGAATTAGAATCATTGGCCACAGAAAAATAATCTGCTGAAATCCTTCAATTAACATACCTGGCTATATCATATGGGATTATTTTGAATAGAATCTTCACAGGAGAATTTTATTATCTACTGTCTTTATTGGGAATGAACATTACCAAATCCAGCAAGCTAACTATATATTTTATACTACAGTGAATTCTAGATCTCAGCAACTTTTCTTGATGGTTCAGAACTAATATTTGGTATATTTAATATAGGATAATATTCAAAGAAGAATACAAGGAGCAAGAAAGTATTTTATTTTTTAAAAGTATTTGTGTCATTGGAAAATGTTCACTGAATTTTTAACCCTAGAAGGAACTTCTGTAAAATTAAATAGTTTGTTCCAATGTATGACACTTTTGAAAATCTAAGTATTAAAAACAAGCAGAAAACTCAAGAAACCACAAAAAAGTAAACATTTAACATATTTTGTCTGCTTCTTTTTTATTAGTATTCTATTAGTATAAAATGAACAGGGCTATAAGCAATTTTGTGTAATGCTGCAGACACACACAATTTGGTGTCAGAAAATAACAGCAGTCTCTGGGAGAAATATAGTTTAAAGGAATGCCAGTTCAAGCAATCTTTGCCATGTCTCCCTTCCCTATTCATGCCAGGATACTCCAATAACTTTTTAAAAGCTATCCAATAAAAGAGTTTCAAATGCAAGGTTAGGACAATATAACAGAATACAGAAATAGAAGGGACCTTAGAGGTCTTCTAGTCCAACCCCCTCCTGGAGCAGGAAACCCTATAAAATTTCAAATGGTTGTCCAATCTCTTCTAAAAAACCTTCAGTTTTGGAGCACCCACAACTTCTGGAGGCAAACTGTTCCACTGATTTAATTAATCGAATTAGTTGATTAGTTTTACACAAGTAGGACGATATTTCTTTAATAGTATTAAATAGTATTAAATACCTTCTTATTAAAGTAGAAGGGATAGACCCTGGACTACTATTCTGTTCATTAGATATTGCACATTCAACCGCTGAACAATTTTACCATGTTCTGACAAAGCCTTCCAAGTTTTGAGATTTCTAAAATCATTTTTTCCAAATTTCTTTTATTCCTCAAATATGAGAAAATAACACATTTTCAGACTGACCCACCCCAAATGGATGCATTGAGAAAGTTAAGAGGCATGGCAATTATCCATTCCAATTTACGTTGAAGACATTTCTCAACTGGCACTATTCTGCAGCTATGGTTCATTTCAGCAATGAATTGCAGCTACAGTGAAGAAAATCAAGTACAGCTAATATCTATGCCATTATTATGCATTATTTGGGCGCAACCATTGTATGGGCTCTACAGCACTCTCCGATCCTCAAGCCAGATGGCAACGCCAAGTCTTCAGGCCCTTACAGAAGGCCATCAAGGCCGGGGCCAGACAAACCTTTAAGGGGGGGGGGATGGATGATGTTCCATACAGTAGATGCAGCAACAGAAAAGGCTCTCTTTCTGGAGCCCATCAGATAAAACTCTCTAATGGACCTGCAACAAAGTATCTTCTGCCAGAATCATTCGGCTGGTAGATGCCCCTGGGAAGAGTAGGGGTGCCTCAAATTTATAATTTAAAGATGGGGAGAAGAAAAGAATGATGCCTATTTGAAGATATAATCCACAGTATAGGGAGGGATGCGGTGGCTCAGTGATTAAGACGCTGAGCTTGTCGATCAAAAGGTCGACACCCTAATTGGCCCTCTCCCAATATTGTTGAACTTCAAATTCTCAATATATTCAGCAATGATTGCAGTATTTGGGATTGCTGAAAACTGCCATTCAATTATATCTGGAGGATCAGAGGTTCCTCACATCTATAGTTGAATATCCAGCATTTTCTGTGAGCTGTTCCTCAACATACAGGGGATTTGCAGAGATTAGATTTAATCAACATTTACTTCCCTCCCAAATTCTAAACACATACACCTGACATTAATTTCGAAACCTTAATGGAATTTTACATATCAAAGTCACGCTTACAGCATTGCACTGAATGTTCTAACAAGAAAAAGATGTAATGAACTATATGTTTGTTTATATATGCTAGTATATAAATATGCTAGAGGCTAATTAGTCTAAGTTTTCCTCTTGCATAATTATCACGCCTGTTTCATTTTATGATTCTCTTTCTGGCCAAGAAGTCCTTCTAATCAATGTACCCTCCTCATCTTTTAACTGTCCACTGTAGTTACCATTGGAAAACTTTAATAAAATAATCTTTATCACAAAGATGTCAAATAACTTTAAAACCTTGTAACTCCCATGTGCAAGAAATATACTAAAATTCTTAACCATCAATAATTACCGTACACTCTTATGGCTCTGACAATGAATTAAAATGCTCAGACACAGCCTTAATTCGTAGTCTGTTTCCTATGACAGGTAATCAATTTATTGCCCAGGAAAAACAGTTAAGTACTTTCTCAAATACCAAAAATGCATAGTTTACCCAAACTGAAAACACAATGCAAGATCAATTTACCAGATCTTGATGCAACAAACTTCTTAAGCACTTGACTAAGTTTCTGCTGTGATTTACATCTTCGCATAATTATACTATTACATAAGTCAGTTTATTTGCAGGAGAGCATCATTATGCAGATGACAGCCTCACAGGAAAGATGTAAGGGGTCATTTAGGCAAATAAACTCCAATCCCTACTTCATCCAAATAAAAGCATCTATGATGGATGGATGGCCCCAATTTATGTCTCAGCACTTCTGGTAAAAGGGGCTTACTATCTTCTTTAGAATCTTCTCAGGTACCAATATCAAGCTGACAAGTCCACTGTGGGTTCTGTCGTGCTCTGTGAGCTTGGTGGTGGTGGTGGTGGTTTGAAGACATTTCATTACCAAACAAGGTAACAACATCAGTCCTGATCCCCATATCTTCCTTTCTGCTCTTTAAAGATATCATCTTCTTCCAGTTATCTCTAGAATTCTCAATGATAATGCACACATTCCTTCAATGCCCAGGATGCAATTCATCTGATTCTGAACATTTAAAGTCATTCAAAATAAATGGATATTTTGTGTTTCTGATAACAATACTTAATCCTACCCTTTAATCCTGCTCTTTACAACTGCTGCATTGCAATTATAAGAGTCATCCCACCAGACCTCAAGTATATTGACTGCATTATATTTGCCTTCTTGCACTAAGAAATCCAGCTCACCTGATTTCTCACACTGAGCGTAGTAGGCATGTCGGCAGCAAAGGCCATGAGCTTTATGAGCCTATGTCCTTTTGGATTTTTCACTGAGTAGTTTAATAGGCTCCATTTCAGCAACATTTCTACTTCTTTTAATAGTGCACAGGTCTCCGATATCTTCCCTTTAGGGTTTTCATCTGCAATCTCATTCAGCCTTCTTCAAGCTACTTCGGCCAAAATACATTTTTATTAGTATTTTACCCTATGCCAAGAGCCCACCTTCCTGGTAAAAGGACCCTAGAAACCAATTCTTCCCAAGATTTAAAAAAAAAATGATTTACAGGAAGTCCGTGATTTACAACAGTTCATTTAGTGGCTGTTCAAAGTTACAACAGCACTGAAAAAAGTGACTTATGACCATTTTTCACAATTATGGCCTCTGCAGCATCCCCTGGTCATGTGATTTACATTCAGACCCTTGACAACTGGGTTCATATTTAGAATGGTTGCAGGGTCCCGGGGGTCACGTGATCCCCTTTTGTGACCTTCTGACAAGCCAAGTCAATGGGGAAGCCAGATTCACTTAACAACCATGTTACTAAGTTAACAACTGCAGTGATTCACTTAACAAATGTGGCAAGAAAAGTCGTAAAATAGGGCAAATCTCACTTAACGGGTTTCTCACTTAACAACATGAATTCTAGGCTCAATTGTGGTCGTATGTCGAGGACTACCTTTATTTTCTTTTTTCTTCCCATTTCCAGTCCTATTCCATGGTGTGGAAGGACAGATTAAAACATCCCACGAAGGCCCCAGCTCCAACTTTTTAAGTTTGGATACAAGGATATCTGGTCTTTGCAATAATTTCATGCGGGCCAACCAAATTGGCTGTGAGTCCACTTAATATGTCTCAGAAAGTAATTTGTTACACCCCTGATCCATGATCCTAGCAAGCATCATATTTTATGAAGTGAATGGATCTGGTTGGTATGCTTATTTCAGTTCCTCATTATACTAGTTTGCCCTCCTTCAATGTCTTTATTGTATAGTATACATCTATTCTCTCTATTCATGATAGTGAATTTCATGTTAAGTTTTTATCCCACCTAAAGTCTTAGAGGAAAATGCTAGCATATTTGAGTAACATTAATTGGTAAAAACCCAATTTCAGATTAATTGTTAAGTATTTTGCAATATTCTCTAATGCATTTTTTGCCAATCACCTGTAGCATTTGATCAACAAAGAAACGGCTTTTAAAAATA